ACCGCAGGAGACCCAAGGGACTTAGTGGTTTGTAAGTAGGTCGAAGAAAATACACTGGGAAATCATATTGTACAAGAGGGATTTGAAATAAGAACGAATTTTGATTCTCTTTTACTGTACTGTTTATAGAATACGCATTAAAAATAATGCCAATCTGGAGATAGGCGTTTTCGTTGCTAAAGCTCAATTGGAGCAAGTCACACTTAAGAAAACTATTGCAGCTATAGGTTTTCGAAAAGGTTTTAAAGTGTATATACGAGTATTCATTAGTACAATAGTACATACCTACTAAGTTAAATTATAATTATAAAACAAATATCGATAAATTAATTTAAAGTTATGTATGTAGCCAACATAACAATAGTAGATAAAACAGTACGCAACTGTCAAACTGTTTTATCGACATTTGCGTAACATTAAACAGCTTCAGATGTTTTAATATTGACGTTACTGAAAAAATGCACAAATTGTAGTACTGGTTACTGTATTCTAGACGCATTTTTTTTGGTTGAACAACTATTCATTTCTACCGATGATTTTAAATGCTTAGTCCGTTTATTCTATTCTAAATTATGATATTATCAATCGGGTTATAGGATCATCTAGCTAAAAGGTGGAGCTTGCAACTAGACAAAGCAGTGAGCACTGCATTGACACGTTACAATTCAAAGTAACTGAAACCTTGAATATTAAGCTTATTAAAACCAGTTATAATTTATTTTTGGTTAGTTCATAGCTAAATTGTACAATAATTGAATTGATTGAATGAGCCTTTTATATCCTAGAAAGCCGAACTAATTAGTATTTCGCTGAGAATCGAATATAGTTGTAACTCTAGCGTTACTGCTTAGCCAGTAAGGTGGTGTTAATAGATAGATAGAACAAACTATATACATACCATATTTTAATTTTTAAATAATAATTAAATGTTAAGTGTCTCAATGTTTATCAGTGCATCTAGATAGACTGTAACGGTCTTGAATACAGATTAAATTAATATTTTCAATTGCATGCGCTGTCTAACGCTTGCTTGGTTTCTGCGGCCAGGGAACAAGCGTTTTATTTATTAAAAACAAAAAAAAATATTAATGATAGAGTCCTTGTATATTATAATGATGTACAACACATCATACAAACGTTTAAAATATGATGGATAAGAAAATATTTTCTTGATGAATTCGCATTTTCTGAAATACACAATTGTATCGGGTTTCATATACAATACTTCTATATAGGTAATTAGAGATGGATAAGTAATGAGTGCACTACGTACCACGTGGCTATATGACACATTATAGATTTTGCATGACTGAAATGAAATGCTTGAAGTCGAAGAGACGACACTGATACAAGTAAGAAATTCGACCAAAGGTTGTTCCAATCTGTAATTTTTACTATGTATTACACGGATAAGGTCCAGTCAAACCACAAAATTATTTCACTAATTGGAAAAGATTAAGTTTCAATAAGCCCTTTGCGATTATATTTAATTGTTTCGCACGCACCGTTTCATCATGGCATTGCTTATTACATCAAATATATAAAATTCTCGTGCCACAATGTTTGTTCTCATTCTCCTCCGAAACGGCTCTTATGAAAAATCCTTTTTATGCATATTCAGTAAGTATGAGAATCGGCTACTATCTATCTTTCAAACTAGGGGTATGAAAGTGATAAGGGGTGTCCACCCAAAAGTAATGTTATTATGTGGCATTAAAAATACATACAAATTATATACAAAATTTTCACCCCTCCACGATGAACCCCTATTTTTATTTTTAGATTACATTTAGATGGTTATTTTTATTGAACTACAAAAAATTCATGGCAAAACAACGTTTGCAGGGTGAGCTAATTTGTTTATAAAAATATACAGTTATATTAGGTATAATCTGTAGACACCACACTACACAGCTTATGAGTTATGAGCAATGTGTATTAAAATCGCCATTTTAATGCCCACATCAAGTACTTTCCGTGTCAAGTCTTAATTGCGAATGTGCGTGCATCTCCCACCTGCCAACACATCGACTTTTATATTTTTAATTATTATTTTTGTATTCGATTATGAATAAAATGTGCACTGTAGGGCTCATATTTTTTAAGTTCATTAAGCATTATCGAATGAAAGATAACGAAATATTGTTAATTTATTTTGCTAAATCGTATCAACCGTATAGCTTTGGTTCAGGTAAACGGTGTATTAGTATATGTGTCATTGATTCTTTTGTTTTAATGAAATCTTGAAATTGTCCTTTGATTAACATATTCCAAGGAAATTTTTGAAAAACCCAATATAAAACATTTTAAATTTTCCAGATGTAAACGGTTACTTCGAATTAAGTGCATACCGCCGCTTATGTACACCTGCAACACCAGGAGGCTTGCATGTTGGTACGCTCGGTATCTTGAAGAACCCACAGTCGTAACTGTTCGGAAATACCTGGATTGCTAGTTCCATAAAATGGTGGTGCGTGGCAAGATGTGAGCGCCCTGTTATCTCATATTAATTCGTAATACACACGTAAACAGGTTATAAGAATATTACTTATATGTTAACGCGGTTGTAGATGCTAGTTGGAGAACACATAAGTGTATAATATGTCGCAGCCAACCAGCTTAATTAATTCAATAAACAGCATAGTCTCTTTACTAAACAGCGCCTTTTAACTAGCGGCCTGAATGATATTCAGCCATTTGATCAAATAGCTAGGCAGATAACTTAAATCGATGACGTTACATAACTTGTCTATCCTGTTCATTTCAAATAAGTTCCACTTTATGCCACCTACTCCAAACTGTCAATAAAGCGTCGACAACAACAAATTTGATGATGTTTTCTAAAGTTTAATGAGAAATATTATGGAAGAGTGTAGTGACACTTAGAGTAAGCGTAAGAACACAAATAAGTTATACGACCGTATGAATGGTCTAAGCATTAGCCGGCCAGTTTATTAAAAATTGTAACAAATGCTACGGGCTGAATATAATTCAAGCCGCAAGTTATATGGCGCTGTTTAGTAAAAAGGCTAGGCTGTTGATTGAACGGCTAATTAAGCTAGGTGGCTACGACATATACACAATAGAATACGTTTTCTAATACGTGGGCCAAAGGGTGGTCACAGAGTACATAAAATATATTTTTAAACTACGCAGGCCTTATCAAGGTCGCTTGCCTTTTAAAGTAAAATAAAATATTAGAATCAAGAAATCACAACAAGCAATATTTTCAGAGATTGGTGGTCCTAAATCGAGGATAAGTAGACGGTAATCACTAGGTATTTGTCTTGTCTCATACTGTCCGGACAAATCTAAAATAGCCATCAACACCCTAAGACCATCGCCTAAGCACTTCAATCGACTAAGATTCAATGGAAAAAATCCTTATTTCCTTACTGTAAGGTTCATGTTAACGGGTATTGGAGGTTTACAAAAAAAAACCTTTATCCAAAGACAATAAGGTGTATTATTGATTGTAAATGTCAAGTGTGACCAGGGGTGATTGCTGTCAATTTGTTACGAAATAAAATACGCATCATATGTTCGTTTCCGAAACATATGACATTTTATGGTGGTCATTTGCAGATTCTGGAGTTAATTTATGTTGAGATAGACAAGAATGTTTCTAGAAATTGTACATTTACTTTTATAAAAAAGAGTATTTTTATGGATAAAGAAAACTTTCAAGATTACTATATAATAATAACATATCTTAATATATTATGCATATATCATGGTGTAAATTCGTTAAAGAGCTTGTTGTAAGGATACGACCTAGTTTATTTTCAGAATATAGGAGCGTAGTAAAAATTATATTTACTAATCGCCTGCGTGACTACGTGACTGCCCGAAACAGATAATTGTTTCATTAGGGAACGGAAAGTTTAAAAAAAACCAATGGCGTTACAACCTTTAAGGTCTGAGCCTCAGATTGCTGTTTGTGATCATTTGTTTTTCTTAATAGGCAAGTAGATAATCAGCATTCTATGCCATTGATTTTTGGGTCTAAGGCATGTCGATTTCCTCGCGATGTTTTCCTTCACTGTACCAGCGAGTGTTAAATGCGCACATATACTAAAAAGTCAATTGGTGCGCAGCCGTGATTTGAACGCACGACCTCATGGTTGAGAGGTAGGCGCACAAGGCAGTAGGCCAACGCTGCTTATATTTATCGCTATAGAAAAAAAAATACCATACAAACATACACCCACACATTCGAGCCATTATGCTCATCTATAAGTGTTACGAGTAAGACACCACATACAAATTCATAATAATATTTGGTTCAATAAAACTGTCTCCTATCGGCGTCCATCAATCGACTCCTCAAAGGGCATCAACACAAGCGCCGAAGACGAAATGAGGAAGAATTTTGGGCGACGGGACATGATAATTAAAAAACAGTTAGTTCTTAGGGCTACATTTTTGGCGACCGTCGGCCATTTCTAAAGCAGCCCAGGCGTTGCAAACAATTTAGAATTCGTTTTTATATAAAATTGTCTAGGTTTTCCAGACTTTTATAATTAGTGTAACGTATTTTAATTTGATTGTTGTTTATGAAGGCAAACTTGTTAAACAATTTTAGTGTTTATCGATATTATTGTAACTTTAAGAAAATTTTCAATAAAATTTTAGGTTATACAGTAACGGACGGACTACACCGTATTATTTAAGAATAATTTTGTATCTAAAGTGTAATTAGGGACAGAAAAATACTTAGGTTCTTTAGTTTGATACCTCAAACATATGAAAAGAAATTAATTTCAAAAGGGCACCGATTATTCGTTGTACGAATTATATAAGTTAACGGACCTTTTTTATCGTCCGAACTGACAAAAGTAAAATATTCTTCAACTAATTTCCTAATAAATCTCTTATGTTTGTTTTATTTCGTTTGTGAAGACAAAATCGTATTAAATATACATAATTGTTAATAGAAGATACTAGGTAAGCAATAATTCTAGTTAATTTTTCGTGTCATAACAAATCAATACAGTATTTTATTCGCGGATATTCGTACTTCCAAAAGTTGCTAACCCCTGATTCGGCAGTGCCAAAGCGGGAGCCCGTCTCTGGAATGCGAAAATTTACACAAACGCAATAAGTATTAGCCGATGCGACTTTTTGTCGGCCGACCGACTTTCGTTTCGGTATTCGACATTTTTGCGATGACATTCCAGTGCTACCGTTTTGATTAAGCGTGATTGTTTTTTTAACATTAGAAGGTCATTTTATGGCATAACTAGCTGATGCGCGTGTGGTTTTATTTATTAAATTTGAGTGTAACGATGAAAACGTCTTCAGGCGTAAGATGCTGCAGCCATTTTTGTTCCGTCACCAATAACAATTGCAAAGAAGAAATATATTACATTTTTAAATTCTTAATCTAGTTTATTGTCGTTTATTATTATTGTATTTTTCATTGATGCACATGCATTTCTTGTGTTTTGTATGTCGTGTGTTCTCTGTATGTGTCTGTATACACATTAACGATATGCATTTTGAAACAAATACATAAAATCTTATGATATTTTTTCTGAATTAATAGTCGTACTAAATCTAATTATTATTATTTTTATTATGAATATCGATAATCGGGAAACAAATGCACTGATGCTTTACTAACAGTCAACACAAATGTAGACATGATATCGGGTAATTAATAAACATAATTTAGAAATACTGATTTGTATGAAAATCGTAATATTATGTACTAAGTTTCGTGCCGGTACTACGGTATATTTTTATTTAAAAGATACTAGAATACTGTTTAATAACCTTTTTTCATAACAGTATAAGATGCAGATTATTAAGATTATTTGGAACGTTAAATTTATAAAGAATGTTTGAAATTCCCTAAAATCCCTATTTAATTAATAAGATCAACTTAGGTTTTGAAAATGTGGCGATGAGCAAAAACGTAATAGAGAATTAATAATTGCGAATGTGCAGGATTAAGTACAGACAGAATAACCTAATGCTCACTTCAAATATAAGTTGTTATATCGTTATGTTCTAAAGCCATTGTTTGTTTACTAAGATAACTCACAAGCGACATTTATTGTTTATTTTAAATTTCGAATTGTATCGTTTGTAAACTAAGTTTTGTGCCCTACTGTATAAATAACCAATCGATAAACAGCCGCTGGCAAAAATGTTCCAACAAATTCAATAATATTAAAGAAAAACAAATGACGTTTCTTTTATCCATACGTGGCAGATATTTGAATGAAGAATGCTTACTTTAGTTTAACCCATTAAATATATACCATTTAAAATAATTTAATTTCACCCGGTGAAAGATACAATCAATATAAAAAGTTAACGTATAATCAGATAATATCGTATTGTTTCACTCGGAAAATGTAATTAAATAAAATTAAAAAATTATATTCAATCGTTTCTGCGAACCGTACAGTTGACGAATTGAATTTTGATGAGTGACAGCCGGCCGGCTCATTATCATTTTGCCATCGCCGCCATCTTGCGTTAAAGCATTTACGATTGTTTATAATTTATTTGTTGATACTTATATTTTATACTTTTAACGGGATATTTTTTTATTCCAATAAAGCAGCAGTGTCGGCCTAGTGGCATCAGCGTGTAACACCCCATCCCTGAGGTCATAGGTTCGATAGCCGGCTGTGCACTAATGGATTTCTTTCTATTCTTTCTATGTGCGAATTAACATTCGCTCGAACGGTGAAGGAAAACATCGTGAGGTAGCTTGCCTTAGACCCAAAAAGTTGACGGCGTGTGGCAAGCAAAGGAGGCTGATCACCTACTTGCCTATTAGATTGACAAATAATTATAAAACAGATGCAGAAATCTGAGGCCAAGACCTAAAAAGGTTGTAGTGCCACTGATTATTATTCCAATATAGCGAGTTTTATTTAGGTAGTACAAATAAAAATAGCTTGAAGATTAGGATGTTAATGAATATTTGTATGGTCTTTTTCCAGCTCATATAAAAAATATATGGTTTGGACGCATGTTGGAACCAGCTGAGGTTACAAGAAGCTAGCTTTACCGGGGAGCATTTTCTAACTTGCATTGTTAATTACATAATAACGATCGGATGACTTTTTGAGTTAACTAAAGAGTAGCTTTTGTTTATAATATATCTTTTATAGGCTAAAGTATCTTTAGTTCGAAGTATATCCATACAACGCCATCTTGTTTTTTGCTTAGACATTAGATATATTCACCTAAAGAAACGTAGATTTTGTTCGAGGTAATCCTGACATTGGCAAATTAACTCGCAAAACGCTACAATATTTTTTCACAAACATTTGCGTAATTTGTCACTCTTATATAATTGGCATGCATAATATTATATGATTGTCTTCATAAACATGAAAAACTCTCTAAATCTTAGCATTAATCACACACCTGAGGACACATTTTGCAGTGATACTTCCGCGCATGTGCATGTAAGGGCTGTAACTTTGTTGGCCCTTTTCCTAGGGGTTGTGGGACTACAAGAAGACCGCTCCCCGTATTCGTGCCCCCCACGGGAGAAGACGAAGATGACCCTGAAATTTAAGGTAAATGTGTTTTAATGTTATATCCATTATCATACTGTATTATATTTAAAGTGCTCGCACGTTTTGTTTATAAATAAAGTCAAAAATAAAGCGTCTTAGGCCTTAAGATGTTAGGCTAGCATTAAATAATTCAGCAGTAAATAGAAGTTCATTCAACTTTATGGATTTATTCACAACACAAAAACGTTTTACTAAATTTTATTAAAAAAGTTACACAATGCGACGGTCTCTAATTAGCTATATTTTTCAGGAAACTTTAGTTACAAGGATACGTTTTTTACTAGTGTAGAGCTAGCCGCTATGAATCAAACCCAATACTTTTGTATAATATTAACAACTAAGTTACAGTACAGCGAGGAAATGCTGCCAATATTAAAGGTTTGCCACAGGGACCCAACATTTTGAATTTGTTTTATTTATTTTTAAATATTATTACTATATAGGTTAAGAATATTATAAATACTGTATGTTTGTGTGTGGAAATAAATATTTATCATAATTTCACGGTAGGGTAACATATTGATCTGTTAGGCAAATCAATTTTCTTATTCGTTTTGAATTTGGTCCGTATGTAGTATGACAAACGTTAACGTAATAATATAAATAAGTTCAATCTTACCTGATCGTCCTGGCCCCAACCCAGTTCCGTACAGCATCTGGCTCATAGACTGGTGATGTCCCAATCTGTCATCAGTCTTCTGGTGCACAGTTCCGTCACCTGTCGTCATTTTGGCCTGGAATAGGAGAAAAATAAGGTTACGTTGGATGCATTTGCACACATGTTAAAAATAAATATTGTAAAATAAAACATCATAGAACCCGGACGTGACGAAACATGTCGTTCCTTAAATAAACTATTTAATACTTGAAATTAAAATTACTTTAATTCAGTTTATAGGTAAGTCAAGCAATGCCTATCTGTTCTAAAGAGATGAAATCGACAAGAATTACCCAGCAGGTTTCGGTCGTTATCCACTTATGGACTGAGTGGGTCATATATATAAGTAAGCATAACGCATTGTAGCAGTCGAAAATATTAGAAAAAAATCATGAAGCTTAGTGGAAGCTGTGCATCAAATCAAGTAAGTATTCCATTACATAAAAATCTGTGATTTAGTAGGTATCTGTTATGTTCCAAGAAAATCCGCTGCTTTATACGGTCACACAGTTAAGGACTCCTGCTGCTGTTACAATAGAAAATCACTCAGCACCAAAGTAATCGTCTAACTTTTGGAACAAAATGTCAAAATTACGCGTTTGTACAAGTAAATAGCATCACAACATCTTTCCCGTAAACTATATTATATTTCACCACAAAAACAATTATTTTTACGTGCTAATTATATGTAAAAATGAAATTAATATACAATTAAAGTTAAATTACAAATAATTCAATTATTTTAGCACGACTTCGTGTTATAAATATTGATCGGTCGTCAAACAACGAACGAGGTTCAGATTATATTACAAAATGTTTACTATCTGCCTGTATTTGACTTACATGTATCTATACATAGAATCTAATTTGTTCTGAATTACATATCTCAGGCCCTATACCTGGGATTATTCCCTTTCCAACTACAGCGCCGTGTCTTCTATTTTTATCATCAATATATACCTACCTACCTATGCATAGTCTTAGAAGACCTATCATCATTTTTTTGACTAAATTTGGTTTTGAGTCGTTTGGCGTCCAATTGGGTTAACCAGTTTAGGTTTTAATAAATGTGGGAGTTCGGCCCTTTAGGAATGGTCCTGGTGAGTTGCCTTTGGGCCACTCTCCATATTTAATTCCGTCGGTGCTCGCACATGTACCATTTCCTTTCAGTTATTATAAGACAGTAAATAGATTATTGTATAGCTCTCAATGTTATGTATAACTTAAAAAAATATTCGTTTAAGAACTCAGTGTGAGGGACACCATGTTGAAATATGATTGATTGTACGTACAATCAAATCCATACAATAATAATATTATAACACCTATATACAAAACTAAATAAATATACCAAGTAGATAAAAAATACAGAATAATAAGTAAGAGCATTGTTACTATTTTATTTGTGCTTTGTTGAATCGCCTCAAATATTGTATTGACCGATTTTATTGACATCAATTTACTATATTGTATACTGTATATAGTAAAATTCTTTCTAAAAATTTGGTTCGGAAGCTAAACAAACGTAACCCTTCGGAGTCAAGGGCGATGATCAATAACGATCAGTTACAAAGTTAAATGAAACCCCTTTAGCCCAAAACTAATATTTTACATAAGAACAATTGTAATTTAGTGTGACCACGTCGCGACAAACCGTGCGTTATTAATGCATCTCGGACGTCCGTTAAGTTATTAGATGGTCACCCTAACACTGTTTTGATTTATCGGGGGCTGTCTGAAATTGGTCAAGTAGTGGGGAAGAGCTTTTTTGTCCTCTCTCTTTCTGACCTCTTGAGAAAAGTTGTAAACGCCGACAAAACACTGATATGGTTTTGAAATATTGTACTTGTTAAATTTGGTCATTTTGTAATCATTAATGATAAAGATTTTAATAAATAATGATTAAGATTTTAAAGCGTAATGATAAAACGTTTTGGTATCTATAATTTTTGAAGTTATACTTCTTTAGGCGCGTTATGAAAAATTGATGAGAGTGAAATTTTACGATGCGCGCACCGTGACACAAAATTAACAGAATGAAGTTGCCCACGGAAGATGCTACGGCATTGGACTAATTTAAAAACAACATTCAAATAATAATATAATTTATGTTACACTTAATGTAATAGAAAAATAATAAATATTTATCTAATTAATTTTTCAAATGTAAACTGAACTTTATTGACTATAATGACTCCTTTTCCAGTCTTTAATTATTTAATTGTAATTAATTATTTGCATGCAATTGAAAACTATTTTTAATAATGCCAAAAAAGTATAACTTCTTACGCGCGTACATAAGTACACGCACACTTTTTTAGTCTTAAAAGTTCTATTACAAATATAATTTGGTTATATTAATTTTATAAAAATCTCAATTATCTTTGAATTAAAATACACATATTTGATATGTAAGTAGAATTGTAATTGTTAAAACTCATAACTATCGATATTCACAGTTGAATTATGTGCTGAACGTACTATAACACTAGATACAGACAACATTAGTAAATCATGTAAACAAACCACAATACCGGTGGAACTACAAATTAATTTATCAAAGATAACGCCCAAAACGGTCCCAGAATTTAATTTAACTGATCGAGCCTTTAGTTTGCGGGAAATGGGTTGAAACTGACCATTTTCTTGAAACGCATTTATCATACATTACGTATAACCTAAATTGTAATGGACTACAAGTTAAGTTAAACAGAATTTTAATAGAAACTTTTCCTCTTTAAATACGTACCTATTATAAACCACTTGGTGAAACAATCAATGTGATAAAGCAGTATTTATCTAATTAAGATTTATAGGTTATAAATATATTTTACTTTCATACCCAACGGCTCGGTCAATTACGATTATATTTGGTAAGGAGAGAAGTTTAAGCCTTTATTTTTTTATTTATTAAGAAATAATTTAGATGAATTAAACGTGTTGAAAAGACACCGTGGAGCGGTCTTGCGAGACTCCACGTGGCCGAATGGCAAGCAGCAGCAAAGATCATCAAAGGTGGCGTTCTCTTGTTTAGGAGGCCATTACTTAGCGGAATCGGTAATATTGTAGTTTTCGTATAAGTGATTGCGAATGACACTGTTAAAGGCTACAATATTTGAGTAAGCTGTCTAAAATATAAACGAAAACAAATAAGTATAATATTATTTTATCAAATAAGTAAATTTTCTCTTTGCACCTAACATTGTACATCCAATATAGGAAAACTTTAAAAAGATTGAAGTCGTAAAAGAAAAATATCGTGTCAACGTCCGTGGAATCTTTTAAAAAGCGCCATCTATCGTTCTTAATAGCAAATTTTGACATAAACTGCGCACGTAACCAACTTGTTTTTCTGACCCACTTTTGCATTTTAGGGTTAAAGGAACCTGGTTTATGTGTGAATAAAATACAGTTAGTGTCTTACTATCTTCTAAATTGTTTGACATTAGTAGTTTAAATTCTATGATTAGGTAGATTCCAGTTAACAAATCGTGAATAAATAAACTATATTCGTTAACATTAGTAATAGTCGTAGAATAGTGACGGATCTGACATATAGTAAACTTTACAGGGCAGCCATTTCAAAATAATATTATAATCATGTTAGTTTTTTTGTCATAACTTTTTTAATTCATATTCTGTTATTGTGAAAGTGGTTGGGTGTGTTTTAAAACAAAATAAAAATAATAACATTAAATTTCACAGTTTTCTAGGAAAATGGTTCTATGAACGTCTATCAAATCCGTCACTTTACCAACTGTATGTTATTAATTAGAAATTTAAAACACATGGATTTTTTTAATGTAGCCGTAATATTTAATCAATGTAGCAATCAAATAAAATATTAATAAAAAAAAAAATTAAAAGTGGATTTTGAATTTTTTTCAAATCCGACATTGTTCTATGATCATGACGATTATTTTGTGTTTTGTTTTTTACTTACGAAAAAAATGCGCTTGGCTTATCTCCTACTATCAAAAAAAAAATGATAATTTTCTAGGAAGTTGATGTGGATTGTAACGGTTTTCTGTAATTTGGTAATTATATTTCATTTAATTTCTACAGATAATTTTGGATTTTAACAGTTTAACTTTAAAATTATCAATGTTATTAGTATTAGAACTGTTACACTGATTACGTTTTACAGAGACGTCTTTTAAGAGAGGCTTTTGTATTGGTTGATTGTCTTTGATTAGTTATTAGATTATGCTTAATTTATCATTAAATTATCCGTGTATAATATATTATTTAAATATTTCTATGTAATGGCCAAAGCTCAAGTTTGGGAGTGTCTTATAATGTATGAATCCCACCCCGGGGGGCCAATTGTTTGACAAAGAGTCTCATTTGCAATCTGTCGCTCTCAGGAGCCGCCCTACACGACTCACACTTCATTTTCTATGCATTTTATGCTCCTCATTTTGAAGGAATCTTTGAGTACACAAACTAAATAATAGGTGATATTTACGATAGCCTCAGGGCTTGGGTCAGCCCTAAGATATCCAATTTGATCACGATTCTTTTATTCGTATCGCAGTGCTATTAAGTTAATAAGCTAGTCTAAATGCATCAACATATAATGTACATAGAGTGGCCTCAGTTTCCGCACTTAGACGCCGATTTGGATGCATTTCCATGTGTGTTAAGGCTGTTTAATTAAGCCAGCCTAGCCACTTCCAGAAAAAAAAATCAGTGGCGCTACAACCTCTTTAGGTCTTGGCCTCAGATTTCTGATCTGTTTCATGATCATTTTTAAATGTAATAGGCAAGTGATCAGCCTTCAGTGCTTGACACACGCCGTCGACTTTTTGGGCGTAAGACATGTCGGTTTCCTCACGATGTTTTCCTTCACCGTTCGAGAAAATGTTAATGCGTACATAGAAAGAAAGTCCATTTGTGCACAGCCGGGGATCGAACCTACGACCTCAGGTACGAGAGTCGGACGCTGAAGCCACTAGGCCACCACTGCTTTGCTACTTCCAGAAGCTTAGAAAATTCCTCGTCACTTTGCAGGAGCGACCTCACTGCTCCGAAGGTTTCTGTTCGTTGAGAAGCCACAGCCACATTCCA